CGCAAGCACCCCCCCGCCGTGATTTTTGTTGGCACCACGCGAGGGGGGCGCTGCTTTGTGGCACTCAGATCGGCGATCGCAGCGTCTGAACTGTTATTCGACCTGCTCCTCCTCCATCTCCTCCTCCTGCTCCTCCTCCATCTCCTCCTGCTCCTCCTCCTCCTCCTCCATCTCCTCCATCTCCTCCATCTCCTCCAGGTCCTCCTCCTCCTCCTCCTCCCCTCCTCCGCCCTCCTGCTCCTCCTCCTCCTCCTCCTCCTCCTCCTCCTCCTCCTCCTCCTCATCTCTGGGGCTCCCTCCCCCCCCGCGCCTCCGCCGGCGACGGCGCTGCAGACGGCGGCGGCGCCGACGACGGCGAGGACGACGCCGTCCCGAGCGCGCGGTCGGTGTCCGTGCGCCGGCCAGACGCCGAGGCAAGGGCCCCCCGGCGAAGGGCAAGGGCAAGGGCCCTCCGCCGCCCAAGGCGGGCCCTAAGGCGGCCGGCGAGGAGCAGCACGGCGAGGAGGAGGCGGAGGAGGAGAAGGCAAAGGAGCCAGGCGGCGAGGGGGTCAGCGGCGCCAAGGGCGCGGGCCTCTGCGCCTGGTCGACCGCGCGATGGGCCGCCGCTCCTGGCGGTGATCTCGCCGACCACGCCCTGCTGGCCTCCCAGACATCTGGCGCGTGGAGCTGCTGTGGCGCTCTGCGACCAATTTCGAACCAATTCCGACGTTCGAACGTTCGAGGTCGAAGGTTTCTCAGCCTCGAGATGCCTTCCAGCGGCTGTGCCTCGCCGAGGGCGTTGCGGAGGTGTCTGGATCGTCCCGAATGGCCGCCGGGAGCAACCGCCGGGGATCCGCGTTATGAGCCGAAAATTCGACGACGAGGAACTGGCTTGTCGACGTTTTCTGGTATCTGGAGGCAGGTTTCGGGCACCAAGCGATTTGGGACGAAACGCTGTCCCCGGAAAGTGGTCGAGAGGTTCAGGGGCCCAAGCCAGATCGGAGCGCCGGATGTCTGGGCTTTCTCCGCCTGTCTCTGCTTCCGCACGCTTTCGTGTGCGCCGATCCCACCTCTGCCCCCAGACCTTTGGTTCGCGGATCACAGTGCTCGCTGCTCGCCAGTCGCGTCCGTCTTGTCTTGCCCCGCCCGCCTCTGTCTCCTCGCGCCCTTCGGCTCGCGGGTCGAGAGGCCTCAGATCGGCGATCGTAGCGTCTGAACTATTGTTCATCCTGCTCCTCCTCCTTCTCCTCCTCCTCCATCTCCTCCATCTCCTCCATCTCCTCCTGCTCCTGCTCCTGCTCCTCCTCCTCCATTCTTTTTCCTTATAACTAATTTTTTGCCTGGCCAGTTTTGAAGGCGGGCCAGGCGTTTCGCTTGCGACTTCCTCACCACTTGCGACTCTGAAGCTCAAAACTTGGTAACAGTTTCACATTGGGAGGGCGAGCCGTTTTCAAAATGTGGCTCTCGCCTTAGCGCGGCGCACATTCGTTCTCAACATTGGCAAGAGTTTCACGGATTGAGGGCGGGTCGTTTTCAACATGTGGTTCTCGCCGTAGCGCCGCGCACATTCGTTTAAACAACTTGCAAGAGTTTCACGGATCGAGGGCGAGTGGTTTTCAAAATGTGGTTCTCGCTTTAGCGCCGCGTACATTCGTTTTAGAAATTTACAAGAGCTGCACGTATTGAGGGTGAGTGGTTTTCAACATGTGTTTATCGTTTTGGCGCCACGCACATTCTTAAAACAAAAAATGCAAGAGCTTCATGGATTGAGGGCGGTTCCGTTTCAAATTGTGGCTCTCGCCTTAGCGTGGCGCACATTCGTTGTAACAAGTTGCAAGAGCTTCACGGATTCCCATCAACGTACCAGAAATGGTTTCGGGAGGATTCAGGATTATGCGGGTGCAACAGTTACGTTGATTCTGTGTGTTGAAGTCCGAGGAATGGCGTTCTGGCGCGACTCAGGATCGTCAAGACGCAGCAGTCAGGCTGATCCGTGGCGCTGGAATCCCGAAAACAATGTTTTGGGATGCCTCAGGGTCTTCAAACGGATGTCTTCCAACGAGGCAGTTCCAACAATGGAAATGAACCGTTGTAGGGGCCTATGCAGAGGGAGCTTGGAGGGAGGTTTTACTCCAACATCGTTGATGACTGGGGTTTACACTGGTCCTCCTCCTCCTCCTCCTCCTCCTCCTCCTCCTCCTCCTCATCTCTGGGGCTCCCTCCCCCCCCGCGCCTCCGCCGGCGACGGCGCTGCAGACGGCGGCGGCGCCGACGACGGCGAGGACGACGCCGTCCCGAGCGCGCGGTCGGTGTCCGTGCGCCGGCCAGACGCCGAGGCAAGGGCCCCCCGGCGAAGGGCAAGGGCAAGGGCCCTCCGCCGCCCAAGGCGGGCCCTAAGGCGGCCGGCGAGGAGCAGCACGGCGAGGAGGAGGCGGAGGAGGAGAAGGCAAAGGAGCCAGGCGGCGAGGGGGTCAGCGGCGCCAAGGGCGCGGGCCTCTGCGCCTGGTCGACCGCGCGATGG